TTTTCAACCCTAGCTACGTGTCAGGTTGTTGGCTTATCTTGTTCACACTGACTGGGCCATGTTCAAGTAGACACTGAGCATCCAGCTCTTTGTCAACCCTAGCTACGCACATGTAGCATTTGACCACACACGTGTCGGGTTGTTGGCTGATCTTGTTCGCGCTGGCTGGGCCATGTTCAAGTAGACACTGACCATCGATGCTTGGTGTTTGGGTGCTTGTGCACTCAAGACTTGCTGTGAGCTCAAGCTTCTTTCCTGGCTGTAGCTTCAACATTTCAGAAAAAAGAAAATGCACAGCCATAGACAGTGCTGGGCTCGTACCGGTACACCCTGTCTGCGTTGTCGAAATACTCCTATCGCTGATTCTTGGACTGGAACCACCCAATACGAAAATGTATGATAAGTATCTGCCTGTAGGTGTGGCTGTCAAGGTGCTTGCGCTGTCACCACCCACGAAGTGAGCGATGTAGCCTCTACGCAACTAGTTGTAGTCTCCACTGGTTGCTTCTTGTGCAGTTTGTTCTCTCCGGTTCGCAACAACAATCTCCTTCAGTTGCATTCGGTGCTATTCTGGCCCAGGAAATACTGAGAATGCAAACTCCGCTTGCTCTCCTCCTCCAGTAACGGAAAGCGTCCAAAGGCACCGGCCATTGTTGCCTGAACAGCTTTCATGCGGGGAGATAAAATTTCTCATGTGATCATTGCTTGCGCAAAACAAGCAACAGCTCTAGCTAGGCAGAGTCGTGGACAAAGAGTCGAGTCCAGTTGTAGGTTGATCTGCAGAACGGTCATACCTCCAAACAAGGATGTACCGCACTCACCGGTACGGTTTGTCAGCCTGGAGCGATCTGCACAGGCCGAGCAAGGTCCAGCGAGGTCCAGCCATTTGGTACCTGAAGTGACAACTTAGCATGCCTTTCGAAAGCCGTACAAAAGATTGGCACTCTACACTCTACATGTACCGCTACATGTCTACACTACTGTACATCGTAGCCATCATAGAAGTGGTCCCGACTCGAAAGGAGGCCCCGTAAAAGTTCATGTTCCTACCGTCCACCCCCGAAACTGGTCGGTCCGGTACGTGCAGATCCTTTTTGGTAGTTAATCGGCTCATCTTATAGCTGCTGGCTAGCCAGAGTAGTGTTCTTTGTGGGAATCTTTCAATGCAACCCTGTGTGTACCGGTACGGTCATCAGCAGGCTACTGGACAACCAATTGCCCATCCTACCGGTACCAAGGTCCCGTACCAGTACATGCAGCGCCCGAGCACCCTCCGCTTCGTTTTCCGATTTCGAGGGACGCAATGTGTGAGATGGTGGCTGTCCTCCTGCGGACCTACTAAATCTCTGAGTCGAGTCGAGTCTTTCAAGTTGGATTGTTATGTAATTACCATCAAGCGCTCCAATGTTGCTTGCCGGGTTCATACCAAAGAACACCTCGAGAACACACAACGGCGAAGAAAACCTGACTGAAAACATCACGGTCTGGCTTTCCTGCTTCAAAGCATGAAACAAGTAAACAAAACAAGATGCCGGTGGACACGCTTTGTGATGCAACCCAAGAATACTGTACGGTACTGTACCAATCCAATTCATTCCAGCTGCGAATAGAGACTTGCTCCTGTTGTTTCAATTGAGCGGACTGGTTGTCACTCCCACTGATTTGAGGAGAGCAATCGACCCAAAGAACAAAGAACCCAAGCTACTGCTGTATCTCCTGGGACCGCTCTGATATAAGGAAGCGACACTTCGACGAACCTTGGAAAGGAAGATAGAAGAACTGATGTGCCATCTCCAAATCTCTCACAATTTGAATCTAGTCCAGAAGTCCAGAAGTCATCCGCCATCAGCCTATTGCCACCACCACAAGCGAGAACCCTCCTCCTGTCACCATGTCTCTCTATGCGCTTCCCGGGCCTCTCTTTGCTCCCTTGCAACAGAATCACCAACTAGCCACAAACCGGTCGGAACCAAAGAAACGCGTTCTCGTAGACTTCTCCAAGGTAGAGCTGGATACCAGCCTCAAGGCCCCAAGGAAGGCACTTTGTCGCAACTATAGTGATGAAAGTAGCACAACCGACCACAGCGATCTCACTGGGTACGGCAGCAGTGCTTCTTCTTCTTCTTGTAGTATGCATGATCAGCACCTCAAGATCCGAGTCAAAGATGCCAAGTTGGACTTTTACAAGCTGGCTCGACCCAAGGCGAATGCAACCAAGACTTGTTGTCGGCGTCAACCCAATGGTCGCCTTCAACGCCGACGCCAAGAGCAAGCCAAGGCAGCAGCCGCCGAGCAACATACCTATGAGAACGCCTTGGTGTTTGAACTGGAAATCTCCTTTGTGGGACGAACCTACACTACCAAACGGACCTTGCAACAGATTGCACAATTCCGTAGCGATCTCACACAAGACCTTCAGATCCAACAGCAATGGATGGAACGAAGCAGCAAACATAAGAACAATCTACCACTATTGGACGATGGCAGCAGCCTCAGTAGCAGTACTAGTAGCACCGATTCAAATGATTCCACCATGATTCCCGACTTGCCTCGCATGTCCGATGAAGGTGTCTATGGTTGTGGTTTTGCCCAGATGGGTGGGATGCTGCAATCCTACCGACCGTCGCTGGAGCAATGGTTCCACCAAGTGGTGGACCATGCCTCGGAGGCAGACGCCATTTTGGCGGATTTTCTCTGGGAACCTCTCTCGGCCAAGTGCATGGATGAACTACATTCGAGCTTGACCGAACTGGGACCGATTGATGAGTAACAAACTCAAAACACAAAAAGCTGCACCAACAACTAACTGTTTCAGGCACAGCAGCTAACAAGAATATGCTACCGTACTCGGCAAGGCACGCTACAACAATCAATCATAAGGAGACGAATAAACTGGCTAATTGTAACGATAGATAATGCATTTCAAACCAACAAAGGAACATCTCTACTAGCTAGCTACTACGGTGCAGATCCACTCGTCAAAGTATATGTAGCGAACATGCATTCACCAAGTCTATAACATATCTACGCGATCGAAGAATACAGGGCCTGTACATTGTCAGCCCGGAAATGAAACCTCTGCTGAACCCAAAGGAGAATCTTTCGGAAAGAGGAACGACAAAAATCCACAAACAACAACCCGTTCTAACTGCCAACCAATCCACACGGCTCTAGCTAGGATCTGACTGGTTAGGCACTTCTCTTACGTGCCCCCGCAAGTACAATCCAGATAGATTACGTAGTACACCTCCAGGTTGGCGAGATGATGGAACGGGAACAGATCGGATGTCTCAAGCTAGTCGTTTCGATCCACCAGCCAGGACGAAATATTCAGGGTCTTGAAACAGTTCTTCCTGGCCAGTAAATGTCAAGACGCAAGAGTACACGGAGGCGCAAGACTAGACCATACCCCATGAGCTAAACCCGACTAGAGCTTGCTTTACCGTAGCCTCACCCGGCATGGGAGTAGGCTACGATACGGAAGCAAGGTCTTCATGGCGTCAGGGACTTACTTGGTAGGTTGTTACATTGTCTGCGGCAAAGCAGGCATCGGAGTTTTACGACACAACACCTACACGGAACACGCCACATGAACCTGGCCAGATAGCAGAACTACAGTAGATCTATCGTACGGCAACAACTACCTTATCACCTCACATCCCCTTCAGCGTTATCAACATTCCCCACAAAGTTGCTGCATGGCTACCGGTACAGCGAATGCTACGCTAGCTCTACTGTGGGACTACCGTAGCTGGGATCCGGAGGCAATCATTGGCATCCCAAGCAAAACTCTCTCCCTAGGAGGGTCGAACTCCTGGCCTTGCGATTAACAGTCGCACGCTCTACCAACTGAGCTAAGGAAGACACGATTTAGGCGTGCTGTTGCGATAAGTCGAAAGTATGGTTGTACATAATGTGACACATACTGAAAATGAGAGCCCAAACCTCCCTACTCTAACGAGCTTCCACAACAAACTCAACAACAGCATAGCTTATTATGGTACCATGGCTGACAGTGCGAAGAGAACCAGTAGAAGACAGGCAGGTAGATCTATCTCCCAAGAGGCTCAGCTGACACCCAGGCAGCTATCGTCCACCCACAGAAGAGATAAGAAGAGAGACTGTTCAGAAAGGAATATGTTTCCCAAGGACAAAAGCCACATCAAAGTGACAAAGGTGGAGGGAATTGACTTTCGCTCACCCTATTCTCCTGTTGCCAGGAAGCTTCATGTAACTCCTCCAGGGTCGAGTTTGGAGAAGACCAAAATGAA